AAAGAATTTTATCAACATATTTTTTAATAATTGAATTCTTTCGACGATTTTTTATAAAATTTTTAAGAAGAAATTTTTTTCGAGAAAAAAAAGAAGAATTTTATTATTTTTGAACATAATTAAATTTCTGCGAAGAATTTTATTACTTTTGAAAATAATTGAATTTCTGCAATAATTTGTAATTTCTCCAAAATTAAATTTTTTTTTACTTTTAATTAAAATTTTTCTATAAATCCATTTTTTTTTAATAGTTTTAAAAAATGTTTATTCAAGATTTTCAAATTCATTTGTTTTTCACTGAAATTCGTTTTTAAATCAATTTTTATTAAAAAATTCTACTAGAATTCAATTATTTAACTATACAAAATTAAATAATTTTTTGAATAATTGAATTTTTCTTAAAATTGAATTCTGATAAAGAATTTTATTCAAATTTTTATATGCAATTGAATTCTTTTGGATAATTTTTGAAAATAATTGAATTTCGGTAAAGTATTTTATTATTTTTAAAAATAATTAAAATTTTGATCAGAATTTAAAAAAATTTTTGAACTCAACTGAATTTTTGCGAAGAATTTTATTACTTCTGAAAATAATTGAAGTTCTATAATCATTTGTTTGCTGATTCGTATTTTTAAAGATTTAAATCTTTCCAAAATTAAATTATTTTTAAAAATTAAAAAATAAACAAATTTTTGAATAATTTAATTTTAGCGAAGAATTGTAATAAATTTTTATTTTTTTTTATTTTATTTATTTGTCAAAATAATTGAATTCTTAAAACGAATTTTGTTAAAATGTTTAAAAATAATTGAGTTATTGCGAAGAAATTTATAAAAAAAATTTTGTAAATAATAATTGATTTCCTGTGAAATTTTTATTATTTTATGAAAATAATTAAATGTTTGCGTAGAATTTTATTAAAATTTTTGTTAAATAATTGAATTCTTTTAGAAAGTTTTAGGAAATTAGATATTGAAAATCATTGAATTAAGGAGAATTTTTGAAAATAATTGAATTTATGCAATAATTTGTCATTTCTCCAAAATTAAATTTTTTTTAGTGTTAATTAAAATTTTTCTATAAATTTATTATTTTTAATAATTTTAGAAAAAGTTTTTTGAAGATTTTCAAATTCATTTGTCTTCAACTGAAATTAATTTTTAAATCAATTTTTAATTAATTTTCTAATAATAATTACATTTATCGAGGAATTCGATTAAAATTTTATTAAAAATAATTGAAATTCTGCAATAAGTTTTGTTCCTTATGAAAATAATTGAATTGTTGCAACGAATTTTATTAAAAATTTTTTTAAAGAATTAAATTCTTGTGAAGAATTTTATTTGTAAAAATAATTTAATTCCGGTAAAAAATATTATTGTTTATAAAAAAAATAATTGATTTCTTGCGATGAATTTTATTAAAATTTCTTTAATAATTGAATTACATCGAAGAATTTTATTATTTATAAAAATAATTCAATTATTTTGAGAAGAAATTTATAGAAAATTTTTTAAATAATTGAATTTCTAAAAAATTTGTATTATTTTATAAAAATAATTAAATGTTTGCGTACAATTATATTATAATTTTTTTAAACAATTGAATTCGTTTGGAAAATTTTTTTAATGTAAATATAGATAATAAAAATAATTGAATGGAAAAAATTTTTTGAAAGTAATTGAAATTTTACGAAGAATTTAATTATAATTTTCGAAAATAATTGAATTTTGGATAAGAATTTTATTATTTATAAAGATAATTGAAATTTTGACGAGAATTCGGAATTTATAAAGATAATTGAAATTTTGACGAGAATTTTGGATTTAAAAAAGGAAAAAATAATTTTGCTATTCTCTGTTTAAACAAAGAAAAGTGTTAATAAACTGAAATATAAATAGCGCAATGGTGGCCAATTTCTGGTTTCATTAGGAGTTTCAACATTAATATATTTTTTTTTTACAATCTTCTCCAAGTACTTTGGCGACATCTTTTCTGAAATTACGAGAACGAATGTAATTAAAAAGTCAGGCGAGAGGACATAAAAGCGTGATTCTCACATTCTTAGGCTGAAAAATAAAGCAAGAGAACGTGCCTAAAGAGGTAGAGATAAACATCGGCGGAATGCAAAAGAGGAAATAACGTAAAGACAAGGACAAAAAGCGAGAAAAGAGCATAGAAAAAAAAGAAGCAATGAATGTTTGCACGGTTGTAATTACTACGAGCTTATACTTTTACGCCAAGTGCAGAGCCATTATAGCGTTACCAGCAACTTTACTGTGTCACCTCGTAAGATTTTTTTTTTCCTTCTTTTTTTAATTGACCTCAAGTGAAAGGATTAGGTATGCCCAAGGTCTAATATTAAAACCATTTTCACATTTTAAGCTGATTGTAAATTTACGGATTTGGGAAAATTGTATTTTCTTTATTTGTTTGTATTTTCTTTAATTATTATACAGAATATTGCGAATTTACTGGAATTAGATTTTAAATTTAAATTACTTATTTTCAAGAAAATTAAATTATCACTAAATAAATTAAAATTGTGTTTTAAATAATAATTGAAATTGTGTTTTTTAACTAATAATTAAAATTGCTTTTTAGTTAAAAGTTAAATATTAATTGTTTTATATTTTCATTCTCAAAAATTACAAACAATTTCAAATTCTCAAATTTTCTACTTCTAAGGCACTTTTCTTCAGAGTCTCAATGATTCTTATAGTGCTATTAAAAAAATCTGTTCAATCATTTTTTTTTCTTCAAATTTTAATAAAAAAAAAAAATTTGTTTTGGGGGACTCGGGACACTTTTATGTACCTTTATTTCCCCATATTTGTCAGTTGGGACACCCCTGAGTTTCTCACAGCGGAATCCGTGTTACTCCACGGGGAGTCCCATATTTTCAAGGGTCCACTTTTATAGTTTATCACCAAAGTTACATTAAATTTTTATCTCTCTTATAGTGTATCGTCAAATTTTACGAAATAAAAATGAGCATAAATTACGGGTAAATTAAAAAAAAATAACGTCTAAATCAACTACAAAATATAGTGTAAATTAAAAAAGTTGTTTAATTGAAAAAGAATTTTTTTTTTGTTGACATTCTTTTGAAAACAGGATTCGAAGGTTTAAATATAAGGGTATTATGGATTAAATTACATTTTTAGTGTCACTGATTGCGAATGTGGGTTCTATTTTTAAATTTAAAATGCTGTCTTCAAAATGACAGCGACGTGCGATTGCACTTGAATCTATTTTATATGAAATTTTTAATATTTTAAATTAATTTTCTGATTTCTGAAAAAGTTGGATTAAAAAGAAATTTGAATTATTTATTTGAATTTGAAACTGAAACCTTTTAAAATTTTATTATTTATAAAAATTTTGATCGCAGCTCTTCTAAATTCGATTATTTTTGGAATTTTTAAATAAAGCTATTCGTTAAATAATTTATAAGTAATAATTTAAGGACGTTTTTCTTTTATTAAAATTTAAGGTTACGAATTAAAATTCGTGGTTATTATAATTAAAATTTTTTTAAATAAGTTACTAGTAATGGGTAATTAAACAAAAAATTTGTTTCAACTACTAACACAGATTGAACAATTGCAAAATGGTTCGTCTGACTAAAAATGACTAGTACTACTGACACAAACTTTTAAAAAAATTATACTGTTTGTCCGACTAAAAATGACTTGTACTACTGAAATAAATTTTCAAAAAAATTTATACGACTTGTCTGACTAAAATCAAAGTTACTACTGATAGAACATTAAAATTATTTTATTTCTTCTACTGATACTGATTAAACAATTGCAAAATGGTTCGTCTGACTAATATTGACTTGTACTACTGAAATAAATTTTGTTTTTAAATTCAAATGATTTGCCTGACTAAAATCAAAGTTACTACTGATAGAAAATTAAAATTATTTGCTGTCAACTACTGATATACAGATTAAATATTGCATATTGATTTGTCTGACAAAAACTGACTTGTTCTACTGATACAAATTAAAAGACATCCAAATTATTTGTCTGCCTAAAATCGAAGTTACTACTAATGAGCAATTAAAAAATTTGTTTCTACTACTGATATAGATTAAACGATTGCAAACTTTTTTGTCTGACCAAAACTGACTTGTACTACTGATATAAATTTTTTTTTAAAAAATCAAATGATTTTTTTGACTAAAATCAAAATTACTACTACCAAAAAATTACAATTATTTGGTTTCTACTACTTATACCGATTAAAATTTTATACCTTTGTTCGTCTGACCAAAAATGACTTGTACTACTGATATACATTTTAAAAAAATTCAAATGATTTGTCTAAAAATTATTTAAATTACGACTGATAGAAAATTTAAAAAATTTGTTTTATACTACTGATAAAGATAAAACAATTAGAAAATGGTTTGTCTGACTAAAAATGACTTGTACTACTGATACAAATTTAAAAAAAATCAAATGATTCGACTGAAAATTATTTAAATCATTACTGATAGAAAATTAAAATTATTTACTTTCTACTACTGATATACCGACTGTTTAAAATATTGCATATTTTTTCGTCTGACTAAAAATAACTTCTACTACTGGTAAAAATTTAAAAAAATCCAAATGATTTCACTGACTAATATTAAACATACAATTGATAAGAAATTCAAAAAATTCTGTTTCTACCGCTGATATAGATTAAAATATTGCATTTTTGTTCGTCTGACCAAAACTGACTTGTACTACTGGTAGAAATTAAATAAAATTTTCCAGTACATTTCATAAAATTCTATGACATTTTCTGGATTTCCCTGATTAATTTTAGTTACGCTGTCCTTTTTCAAAATAGTTTTTTTCTAATTTTTCCATTCACAAAATTGTATATAAATCTCAATTAAGATTAAAAATAGAATTTTTATAATTAAAACAATTTTTTTTTTAAATTAAAATTTGTTAATTAACTCGTTTATTTATTTTTTTCTTGTATTTTTTCAGAATTCAGAGATTTCGTTGTTCGAGACAAACATTCGATTCATGGGAAGTCTGTTGGCGTGCTACGCACTCACTGGAGATCCAATGTTCCGAAATAAATCAATTGAACTTGGAATTCGTATGTTACCAGCATTCAACACGGAAACTGGAATTCCTCACTCTCTCATAAACCTTCGCACTGGGGTGAGTTTAAACTTGTATACTGCTTTTCTTGTGTACTTTAATGATGAAAGTGAGAAAATACTATCCACTTTTCTTGAAAAGAAGAACAGTAAACTTAATAGACTCTACACTATCTTATTTCAAAAAAAAAGAAAGTCATAAACTTATACTCTTGTCATATTTTCTCATTTCGCAGACAAAACCCTCTTTTGTCTCCTTTGAAAAGAAAATCTTCATTTTGTATAACTATTTTACATAAGAATTGGTTTCGCTTCTTTTGAAGTTTTTTTATACACTCCATTTCCTTATCGTGTTCGATACAACTTTTACGATACAGGATCATTTTTCGTCATTACAAGAAAAATGTCTCAGAGTATATAACTTTACCTAGATAAATATTTTTTTTATTAAAAAGTAAATTTCATTTATATTTAAAAATAAATAAAAAATAAGGGAAACAATGAAACAGAAGGAAAATATTTTGGTAATAACTGAAGAAAAACTATTTGGACTACTTGGTAAAAAAGAAAAAAATTACAAAAGTTGAAAATACATTTGGTGCTGGAAAATTGTCTTTTCTAGATTTTAATCAACCGCAGGACTATCACCACTCGTTGAAGTATTTTTAGTTATTTATTTTTCTTTTTGTCTCTTTCGTTTCGCTACTACGTTTTAACGAACAACGATTTCGTGTACGAAAACCTCTTTTACTCAATTCTGTGTGTTCTCTTTCTGCGTTGAACACTAGGACAAAAAAAAAAAATTTTTTCTTTTTTTCCGGGCGCCACTGCGGGAAAACGCTTGTACAACTTTGAGGGGTCGGTTCGACGAAATTAAAGCCATTCCGTTTAGTCACGTTTTCAAAAGAGAAATTACTCATCATGATTAATATGCAAATTCTTAATTGAGGAAATAATAAGGCTTCAAAAGAACGAAATGAGTCCATGGGAATTTACATTTTTAATTTTTAATTATTATTTTATTTTTTTAGGAAAAATTTTTTCTGACTTTTTTACTTTTTGTATTTATGAAAATTTTATTTCTAGAGATTGAGGAGAGAAGAAAAAATATATTTAAAATCGTATTTTTATAAACTTTATTTTTTTAATCTTTCGTGTTTTTGTAGATCAAAAGAATAATAAATATCGGGGAGTTTACGTTGAATATTGAGGTTCTATGTGAAATTTGTTTAATTGCTTGATTAACGTTAAATGATTAAAGCTGGTTAATTAACTCGACTGAATCGTTATACCATTTAGTGGTAATGAATTTACAGTGGATTTTCAAATTTTTAGATTCTAATTTAAAGTGAAAACAATTGAAATTTTGTTAGAAATTTTTTAATTACTTTTAGGTTAAATAAGAACGAAAAAAGTATCAGAATTTTTTTTCTATTTTAAAGTTAGTGAAAGAAACTATTATCTTAGTGGTTATAAAAATAAAAAAAAACATATTTAAAATTATTTATTCAACTAAAAACAAAATCGAAATAAGGCTTTAGAACGATTTGTCCGACTAAAATTGATTTTTACTACTGAAACAGGTTAAAAATTTCTTAATAATTTGTCTGACCAAAAACGAAGTTACTACTAAAGTGGGTAATTAAACAAAAAAATTGGTTTCTACTACTAATGCAGATTAAAGACTACAAAGTGGTTCGTCTGACTAAAACTGACTTGCACTACTGATACAAGTTAAAAGAAATACAAATAATTGTCCTGAATAGTATTTAAGTCACTACTAATTGAAAAAGAAAAAAAGAAAATTTCTACTACTAAAACAGATTAAACGATTAAAAAGTGGTAAGTCTGACTAATAATGACTTGTACTACTGATATAAATTTTTTTTAAAATCAAATGATTTTTTTTTACTAACATCGAAGTGACTATTATCAAAAAATTACAATTATTTGGTTTCTACTACTTATACCGTTTAAAATTTTATAGTTTTGTTCGTCTGACCAAAACTGAATTGTACTACTGAAATCAATGTTTAAAAAATTCGAATAATTTCTCTAAGGAAAATCAAAGTTACTACTGATAGAAAATTAAAATTATTTGGTTTTTACTACTAATATACAGATTAAAATATTGCTTATTGGTTCGTCTGACTAAAAATGACTTGTACTACTGATACAAATTTTAAAAAAATTAAATGATTTGTCTGACTACAATCTAAGTAACTACTGATAGAAAATTAAAATTATTTCATTTCTACTACTAATACAGATTTAAAATTTTCATATTTGTTAGTCTGACAAAAATCGACTTGTACTACTGATACAAATTAAAAGATTTCTTTTAATTTTTTCTGTCAAATTATTTGTCTGACAAAAATCGACGTTACTAATGATAGAAAATTAGAAATATTTAGTTTCTAGATTCTGATAGAGATTAAAATATTGCACATTGATTTGTCTGACTAAAAATAACTTGCCCTACTAATAAAAATTTAAGAAAAATTAAAATTATATGTCTGATTAAAAACGACGTTACTACTGACAGAAAATTAAAATTTTCCGGATTGAAGAATTCTTCATTGTTCAGATTGAAAAATTGCATATTGATTTGTCTGACCTAAAGTACTAATTATTAAATAATTTTACTACTAATTGAAATTAAAAGAAATCCAAATGATTGAACTGAATAGTATTTAAATTACTACTGATTGAAAAATAAAAAGAAATTCTACTACTAAAACAGATTAAACGATTGAAAAGTGCTGAGTCTGACTAAAACTAACTTTTACTACTGATACACATTTTTTAAAAATTCTAATGATTTGTCTGACTAAAATCGACGTTACTACTGATAAAAATTATAATTTTTTGGTTTTACTACTCATACAAATTAAAATATTGCATTTTGGTTCGTCAGACCAAAACTAACTTGTGCTACTAGTAGAAATTAAAATAAATCCATATTATGTGACTGACTAAAATTTAAGTTACTACTAATGGTCAATTAAAAAATTTGTTTCTACTACTAATACAAATTAAACGATTGCAAACTGGTTCGTCTGACTGAAAATTACTTGTACTACTGAAATAGATTTTGAAAAAATTTAAATGATTTGTCTGATAAAAATCAAAGTTACTACTGATAGAAAATTAAAATTATTTGGTGTCAACAACCGATGTACAAATTTAATATTGCACATTGATTTGTCTGACTAAAAATGACTTGTAGTACTGAAATAAATTTTCAGAAAAATTCACATCACTTGTCTGACTAAAATCAATGTTACTACTGATAGAAAGTTAAAATTATTTGGTTTCTACTACTGATATACAGATTTAATATTGCATATTTATTTGTCTGACTAAAAATGACTTGTACTACTGAAATAAATTTTCAAAAAAAAAAATTCATATCACTTGTCTGACTAAAATCAATATTACTACTGATAGAAAATTAAAATAATTTGGTTTCTACTATTGATACCGATTAAACGATTGCAAAATAGTTCGTCTGACTAATATTGACTTGTACTACTGAAACAAATATTTAAAAAAAATTAAAATGGTTTATTTGACTAAAATTGAAGTTTTACCACTACTAAAAAATTACAATTATTTGGTTTCCACTACTTATACTGATTAACATTTTTTATCTTTGTTCGTCTGACCAAAATTGATTTGAACTACTGATATAAATTTTTAAAAAATTCAAATGATTTGTCTGAAAATGATTTTTAAATTACTGCTGATAGAAAATTAAAAAAAATTTGGCTTCTACTACTGATGTACACATTAAAATATTGCATGTTGGTTCGTCTGACTAAAAATGACTTGTACTACTAATTCAAATTAAATAAAATCTTCATGATTTGACTGAATGGTATTTAAATAACTACAGATTGTAAATTTATAAAATTTAGTTTCTACTTCTAATTTAGATTAAACAATTGCAAACTGGTTCGTCTGAAAACATTGTTTTAAAAAGAGAAAAAAATTGTTTTGAAAAGAAAAAAAAAAATTGGCATAGAAAATCTCTTTTTCTTTTTAAACCCAAATGAGTAAAACAATTGGGCTAATTACGATGATGATTTTAAAAATATTTTTTTCCCTTTAATCCGACCGAGAATTATTTTTTTAATGGAATATAAAACAAACGCTGTAAAGTTATAAAGGTACTTTTAAATCTCCGGTTCTTATATAGATTTGTAAATAAAAAAAAATAAAATACGGAAAAAGCCGTATAACATACAGCGCAGCTTTTGTCAGATAAAAATATCCTCGTAAAGTAAGAAAAGAGCAATGGAGAATAATTTGAAAACATACCACGTATTTGCACCTGTGTACCTAACTTTAGAGCTCTTTATGTTGTACTGAGCTTTTAAACCCGACGAAAAGCTTTATTATAATCGTGTATTACGAATTGTCGTTTTAAGAATGAAAGAGAGAGAGAGAGAGAGAGAGAGAGAGAGAGAGAGAGAGAGAGAGAGAGAGAGAGAGAGAGAGGTGCCCTAATTAAAGGCCACATCTGCTTCAGTCATGATATTTTACATTTACGATTAATTTTGTCTTTTGCAAAATTATTTTTTGCTAGAGTCAATTTTTTATTTAGTTTTGATTTTAAGTTTCTTTTAAAAATTTTATATTTGAAAATTTTTTATTTAAAAAAAATTTTTTTTTTCGTTCTTTTAAAAAATAAAAAACTTTAAATGAAAATAATTAAAAATTAATAATTTCTTTATTGCAGGCGAGCAAGAATTATGGTTGGGCGAGCAGTGGTTGCAGTATTTTATCCGAAATAGGAACAATGCATCTTGAGTTTTCCTATCTCAGTGACATCACTGGAAATGCAACTTTTAGAGAGAAGGTGAAAAAAGTAAGAGACATTTTGAAAAATATGGAAAAGCCCAAAGGTCTCTATCCCAACTATATTCATCCTAAAACTGGAAAATGGGGTCAACGTAAGTATCCAATTTTTTTATTTTCTTTAAAAAAAAATTTCATTATCGCCCAGGAATATTTTTTGTTTTTTATCTTTTTACAAAAAACTCTCCACTTTTTTTCTGATTCTATTTTTTTTATCATTTAGAGAAGAATTTTATAAAAATATTTATTCACCATTTTTCAAAAATAAAAAAGTGAATAAGTAAAAAAAAAGTAAGTAAATGTAAAAATAAAAGGTAAAAATGTTAATAATAAATCAATCAACCTGTTTTAAAATTAGCTACCGGGTGGTCTTGGTAGTCTTTAAATTGAGAAACAAGAGAAATAAAACAAAAAAAAAAAAGAATTTATACAATCTCGCTTGAAAAGTTGGCCTTGGCAAAGCAATAACGGATGGCGCTGAATTATAGTAATAAGGGTTTTGTGACCGGAAAAAGGCGAGGTGTAACGCTCTCGGCCATATTCTGAATGAAAAAATAATATCAGAATTTTCAAATATATAGAAAATATTCCTCTTGTGACTATAATTTCGTTTAATAAATCTAATATATATCTCATAATATTTAGTTCATTTAATTTATTTATAGTTCATTTAAATAATTTGCGTCTACTTTAAAATTTCTTCCTGCATAATTTATTCATTTCTGTAGAAAGTTTTTCATTTTATATATAAATTTACCATTTTCATGCTCTTCCACAATACTGAGATTTCAATAAAAAAAAAAAATTCTTTTGCATTTTACTCAAATTCATTACTGAAAATTATTACTATTATTAAAATTTTTTCTTTTTTAAATTCGCGCCAAAAAAATTAAAATTAAAAAAAATAAAATAAATAATACAAATAAATAAATAAAATAAAATTCCCGCCTAGATTGCAAAGAATTTTATCAAAAAATTTGAGATTAATTGAATTTCTTTGAAGAATTTTATTATATTTATGAAAATACCTAATTGAATTCTTTAAAAAAAGTATTGCAGTTTTTTTAAAGAATTATAATTGAAAATTTTGAAAGTAATTGAATTTCACAAACAATTTCTTTTAAGTTTTTTAAATCGTTTTTAAATCGTGTTTAAATCGTGTTTCTTAATAATTAGATATTTAATTATTAAATTTTATTGAAATTTTTAGAAAATAATTAAATTTTCTTTAATTTATTAAATATAATTGATTCAGTTATTAAATGTAATGAATAATTTTACTATTAAAATTTTATTGAAATTATTGATTGGAAATTAAAGTCTTTTAAAGAAGTTTTTTAGAGTTTTTGTAAATAATTGAACTATGCTTTTGAAGATTTTCTTTAAGTTATTTTTTTTAAATAATGTAGTTTTTTAAATAATTTTAATTGAAAATTTTGAAAATAATTGAATTAAACAAAGAATTTTTTTTCAAATAATCGTGTCTGTTAATAATTATAATTAAAAATTGGATTATTAAAGTTTATTAAAATTGAATTGAAAATAATTGAATTCTTCAGAAGAATTTTATTATTTATATGAAAAAATGTAATTCTTGCGTTGAGTTTGACTACTTATTAAAAATATTAGAATTGTTTTAAAGGATTCGTTAAAATTTTAGAAAATAATTGGATTCTTTCGAAAAATTGTATTAAAAATTAAAAAGTAATTGCATTTTTGTTTCGAAAGATTTATTAAAATTTTAGAATATAATTGAATTCTTTTAAAATTTTTTTTAACGTTTTAAGAACAGAATTAAATTTTTTTTTGATATTTTATAGAAAATAATTGAATTCTTTCGAAGAATTTTATTAAATTATTTGAAAATTTGAATAAAATTTTATTCGAGAAATTTCTTTGAATTTTTTTTAAATATTGGACTTTTTTTAAATAATTTGAATTGAAAATTTTAAAATTAATTGAATTTTACGAACAATTTCTTTTAAGTTTTTAAAATCATTTTTATAATCGTGTTTCTTAATTATTATACAATTTTTTGAAACGATTTAATTCATTCAAGGAATTTTATTAAAATATTGAAAATAATTGAATTCTTTCAAAGAATTTCTCTAATTTATTGCATTTAATCGATTTAGTTAACAATTGTAATTAATAATTTTACTATTAAAAATTTTATTAAAATTATTGATGAAAAATTAAAATTTATTAAACAATTTTATTAGAGTTTTTGTAAATAATTAAAGGCTTTTGAAGAATTTCTTTATTTTCATTTTAAAATAATGAAAATTTGGTAGTTTTTTGAATAATTTTAATTAAAAATTTTAAAAATAATTGAATTATAATTAATTAATTAAATTAATTTTTCTTAACTTTTAAAATAATTGTGTCTGTTAGTAATTATAATTAAATATTCGATTATTGTTGTTTATTAAAATTGTATTAAAAATAATTGAATTTATGCGAAGAATTTTATTATTTATAAGAAAAAATTTAATTCTTGTGATAAATTTTACTACTTATTAAAAATAAATTAATTGTTTTGAAGGATTTGTTAAAATTTTAGAAAAAATTGTAATCTTTCCAAAAATTGTATTAAAATTAAAAAGTAATTGAATTTTTGTTTCGAAATATTTATGAAAATTTTAGAAAATAATTGAATTCTTTCGTGAAATTTTATTTAAATTTTGTTGAAAATAATTGAATTTTTGCAAAAAAAAAGTTCAAATTTGCTAGTTTTAAATTTATTAATCGATAAAATAAAATAAAATGGAGAAAAAAAATTCTCAACTTTTCTGATTGGAACTATAAACAAATCGATAAAAAAAATTAGATGAAATCAAAAATCAATGAATTTTTTGACAATGTAAAAGAGAATTTCCAATAATAATAATTTATTTTTATTGTACAAGTTATAAAAGAAAAAAATTTGCTTTACAATTTAAGTGATTTCTTGAACTCCAGAGTTGCGTTTCTTGCAATGAGAAAAATGAGGGGGAAAAAAAAATTGAACGATATTGAAAGAAATTCTGTACAGTAAATAAAGGTTACATTTTTCTGAACCGCAATATTTATCCATCATCCGCTGACAAAGTTTTTAATAAAGTTTTCAACTTTACGTGATATTGGTACTTGAGTCGACATGAAATGAAATATATATCTCTCTGCATCTTACCTGGCAAACTTCCAATTTCACCAGCATTTTTCGCGTCTGAGCATTGGAATTTAATTTAAATTCTTTGCGTTGTACACATTTTGTTAAAATATTCAGCGAGCAATATTGAAAACGCAGGTTTATTGTTGAGGAAGATAAATATGTTATAAACTTCAAAGGTGAAAACATCCCGAATATAATCTTCGATAGTACGAATTGAAATATTTTAATGAAACAAAAATTTATCTTTATTAATCGAATATAAAAGAAGAGTCATTAATTTTTCTCTATATTTAAACAATGAAACTTTTTCATATAAATAAAATACATTTTGTGAAATTTAATTTTCATGTCATTTATTTTCGATTTAAATGAATCAAAATTGTAATTATATAATTAATGGAGATTACTGATTGCAATTCAGTTAATCATGGAGTTCATTAATATTGTCAATAATTTACCCAATAATTGTGAAAATATTGTATATAGTATATATATAGTAGATTGTATCTCATTTGTGTGATAAATTTTAAGCTTTAATAAAAATGCGGAAAGCGAATAATTTGGAATAATTTAGGTCAAATGAAATTAAAGAGGAGAAGGAATAAGAAGCAAAAAGTACAAAGAGGAAGAGACATTCTTGTAGTCATAGTATATGTGGAGCCACAGCGTTCTTATTTATTCGGTAGCTGAATAAATTAGCAGTAACAATTCGCCTCTGTAATCGCTCTGAAATTTATCGTTGAGGCAGGTCACGACACGGAAGGTCAATTTTTTTTTATTCTTTTTCTTTTTTGCAAAACCCATAATTTACTCACTGTCCTTTGAATATACATACTAAATTTTTCGAAAAGAAATATTGCTTTTAGTATTTTTATGTTTCATATAAAGTTAATTGGAGAAATTGTGTCTAAAAGAGGCACCTTAGTGTTGTTATTGAAATTTTTTTTAAATTCTTTAGATTTAATCAAGCTTAATAAAGAGTTCTTGTAGTTCTTCTAAGGAAATCAAATTGAGACAGAAAACGAATCAAAATTATTTTTAAAAATTGTAATAAAATTCGTTACGAGAATTCAATTATTTTCATAAATTATTAAAATTCATCGCAAGAATTAAATTACTTTTACACAAATTTTATAAAATTTCTCGAAAGAATTAAATTATTTCCATAAATAATAAAATTCTTCAGAGCAATTCAATTATTTGAAATTTTTTAATTATTTTCGAAAATTCCTACAAAATTTTTTAAACTACTTTACTTATTTTCAAAAGTTTAATAAAATTCAAAGCGGAAATTCAAATAATATCATAAATATAATAAAATTTTCAAAGTAATTCAATTGTGTGAAATACAATTTTCAAGAAATTTTTTCAAAAGAAATCAATTATTTAAATATTTTAATAAAATTCTTTGTAAAAAAATTAATTATATTGTAAAATTTTGACAAAATTTCTTTATAGTTAAATAATTATTTTTATAAATAATAAAATTCATCGAAAAAATTTTAATTATTTTTAATCCAATTTTAATTAAGTTATTCGAAAGATTTGAATTATTCTTTTAAATTTTTACAAAATGAAAAAAAGAATCCAATTATTTAAAAAAATTTAATTAAATTCGTTACAAGAATTCAATTATTTTCATAAATAATAAAATTCGTTGTAGAAATTCAATTATTTAAAAGAAAATAAATTTTTTTACAGAATTTGAATTATTTTGAATACAGTTTGAAATAAATTCATCGAAAAATGTAATTATTTTCTAAAGTTTTATGAATATTCTTCGAAAGAAATGAATTATTTTTAAAAATTTTGATAAAATTCTTTTTTAGTTTTCAGTTGTAAGAATCAATTAGTTTTGCCATCAATTATTGATTTTTGTATTTAAATGATTGAATGTATGTAGAATTTTTGAATAAGAATTGATTTAAAAATAAATTACAGTTAAAATTGAAGAATATAATAATTGAATATTAAATGCGTTATAATATGAATTTTTATAGAAACTGTGATAAATTTGAAAAAAGTCTTACATTAATTAATGGAAAATTTTGTGAAATTTAATTGAAATAAATTTTATGTTTTAAAAAAATTAATTTTCTTATTTTTAAAAATTATTTTGAAATATAATCGAATTTTTGAAGAATTCTAAAATTTCTAATTAGAAGTTTGGAAATTAATTGAAGTTTAGAAGAATTTTGAATTGAAGTTATTACCAGGAAAAAAAAACATTTTTGATGGTAACCAGGAAAATGTCAGAGAAATACAGAATGAAATTTTTATGAATTTTGTGAATCGTCTAAAATAAGGTTTTTAGTAACCAAATTTAATTTTTCCATAGCAGCTACTTTTTTACTATACTTTTTCAGTCTTTGCTACTTTTTTATTCTTTTTTCAGTCCTTATGCTACTTTTTGATACTTTTTTAGTCTTAAAGATACTTTTTGCTACTTTTTTAAAACAAATTATTGAGTGAGAAGCCTGACTACTGGTATACAAATAAAAATGTTTCATATTGGTTCGTCTGACCAAAACTGCTTGCACCACTGATAAAAATTAAAAGAAATACAAATGATTGGTCTGACTAGTATTTAAATAACTACTGATTAAAAATTTAAAAAACTTTTGTTTCTACTACTTATGCAGATTAAACTATTTCAAACTTGGTCGTCTGACTAAAAATGACTTGTACTACTGATAAAATTTTTTAAAAAAGTGAAATGATTTGTCTGACTAAAATCTACGTTACTACTGACAGAAAATTAAAATTCATTGACTTCTCCTACTAATACAGATTTCAAAAATTCATATTGGTTCGTCTGACTAAAAACGACTTGTACTACTGATAGAAATTAAAAGAAATCCAAATAATTTGACTCTCTAAAAATTTAAGTTACTACTAATAGTCAATTAAAAAATTTGTTTCTACTACTAATAATACCGATTAAAATTCTGTATCTTTGTTTGTCTGACCAAAAATGACTTATACTACTGATAGAAATTTAAAAAAAAGTAAACTGTATGTCTGACTAAAATTGACGTTGCTAATTATAGAAAATAAGAATATTTTTGTTTACACTACCGATGAAGATTAAAATACTGCATATTGGTTTGTCTGACTAAAAATGACTTGTACTACTGATATAAATTTTCAAAAATATTCAAATGATTAAAATGATTTGTCTGACTAGAATCAAAATTACTATTACCAAAAAATTACAATTATTTGCTTTCTACTGCTAATACCGATTAAAATGTTGTATCTTTGTTCGTCTGACCAAAACTGACTTGCACTACTGATACACATTTTTAAAAGAATTCAAATGATTTGTCTGACTAAACTCGACGGTTACTACTGATAAAAATTACAATTTTTTGGTTTTTACTATTCATACAAATTTAAAAATTGCATTTTTGGTTCGTCTGACCAAAACTGACTTGTTCTACTGATAGAAATGAATAAAATTGAAATTAAGAGAAATTTAAAGAAATAAAATAATAAATGAATAGCTAATGAGTATAATTTTTTTCTTTATTTCAGATCACATGTCTTTGGGAGGATTGGGAGACAGCTTCTACGAGTATCTTCTAAAGGCTTGGATTCAATCAGGCAAAAAGGACACAGAAGCTAGAGAAATGTACGACGAAGCCATGGATGCCATCGATGAGAATATGGTTTTCAAATCCCCCGGAGGATTAATTTACGTTTCTGATTTGAAATACGATCGTGTGGACAGAAAAATGGGTCATCTTGCTTGTTTTGCCGGTAATGTTCCCATAATAAATCGATTGTAATTAAAAATATTTTTTCCATTTTTTTATATTCTATTTTAATTTCATTGGTAAATGTAAATAAAAAATTTTTTTTTTTCATTTTTCCTAATTGTCAATTAATTTCAGGTGGAATGTTTGCATTGGGCGCGAAAACTCAAAAGAAGTACTCAGAAGTGAGGGGGAAGAGACACATGGAAATTGCCGAAGGTTTGACGAATACATGCCACGAATCGTATGATCGCACTGCTACAAAATTAGGTCCTGAAGCTTTTCATTTTATTGAAGGCAACGAAGCGAGAAGTTTGAAGAGTGGTGAAAAATATTACATTTTACGACCAGAGGTAAGTTTTTCGAGAAAAGGACAATTTTTCTTATTAATGAGTAATGATAATTTTTCTTAATTTTTCTTAATTAATTTTTTTTTAATTAATTGTTAATGAGTAACTAAATAGAACGATAAATTATCTGGATATTAAATAAATAATAAGAGTAATTATAAACCAATTTCATCACATTTACTTGAACGGGAATAAAAGAGAAAATTGTCGAGCATCTTCTAATTGAAGTACTTTATCACTTTTTCTTTTTTTCATTCACTCCATTATTACATCTTTACCTCTTGCTTCAACTTTAGTTTCAACTTTAGTTTTCACTTTAATTAGTAGACGATTTCGTGTCATTCTAAAGAAAATTCTAATTGTTAAATAAACGTTTTCGCAATTAGTGCGCGAAGGTAACACTTTCTTTTATAATAAGTTTTTTTTTCAACGTTGTTTCTCCTTTTTTTCAGACATTTGAATCGTACTTTATAATGTGGCGTTTGACAAAGGATCAGAAATATAGAGAATGGGGATGGGAAGCTGTTCAAGCACTGGAAAAACATTGTCGAGTCCCTGGAGGATTCACGGGTCTTCATAACGTTTACTCGGTGGATTCACAGAAAGACGACGTCCAGCAAAGTTATTTCTTTGCCGAAACCCTCAAGGTATTGCAAAATAATAAATTACACGAATATTCTGAATTTTAATTAAACTCCAGAAAGTTCTCTCTTACTAGGAAAATTTCAACAATAGAATTCTTTAGTCGTAAAAACCAATTTAGTATTTTTTTCTTCTATTTGGGTATTATGAAAAAATAATTTTTACCAGGAAGTAAAAATTGTTTTTTCATGATTGCCACAAGTCAGAAAAATCATGAAAAAATCAGGGATTTTTATTAAAAGTACTAGAAAAAAAAAATTTTTTTAATTCATAACAAAATTCTGTATTTTCGAGTCTTTTTCGTTTACCTCATAAACAAGAAAATTACCACGAATTATAATACAAATTACAAAATCTTCAAATTTATATTTTTTTCTATATCTGAAAATAATTTCTTTTTAAATAACTTAAGTCTTGAGGAACTAGAATAAAACTACTACTTAGAAATTATTAAATGAATAATTTGAACTTCAAAAGGTTTCAATTTGAAATTTTATAAAACTTCAATTTTGAATGAATTAGAAATTTTAAAGAATTTAAGTTTTTGAAAATTTTTAATAATTCAAATTCTTCTGAAATTAGTTAAATTTTTTAATATATAGGTATATATATATTTAATTAATTATTGAAAATAATGGATTTATAGACAAATCTTAGTTAAAAATACCAAAAAACTTAAATTTTGGTGAAGTTACAAATAAAATTGCAGAAATACAATTATTTTCAAAAGCAATAAAATTCTTCGCAAAAGTTCAATTATGTTCAAAATAATTGAATTATTGCGAAGAAATTTATAAAAAAAAAATTTTTAAATTCTCGTCAAAATTTCAATTATGTTTATAAATAATAAAAATCTTGGCAGAAATTCAATTATTTTCAAAAATTTCAATAAAATTCTTGTCAAAATTACAATTATTTAAAAAAAATTTCCTCATTTAAATATTTTTCAATAACTACTAATTTTAATAAAATTTTCCAAAAGAATTCAATTTTTTTTTTAAATTATTTTTGTAAATTACAAAAGTTTCCCTGGAATTCAATTAGGTATTGAAAATAGAATTTGCAGAATTTAAAAAAAACAATTATTTAACATTTTTTTTATAAAATTCCTTTGCAATAATTCAATTATTTTTATAAATATTATAATACTTTACACGAATTCAATTATTTTCATAAATATTAAAATTCTTTTTAGAAATTCGATTATTTTCATAAATTTTTAAAAATTCTTTTCAAAAATTTAATTATTTTTATAATAAACAAAATTCTTCGACAAAATTAAATTATTTTCAAAAATCTCAATAAAATTCTTGTCAAAATTTCAATTATTTTTTAAAAATTTTGCACAATTCAATAATTTTCAATATCTATACTATTTAAATAAAATTTCCTAAAAGAATTGAATTATTTTTAAAAAATTATTTTTATAAATTACAAAAGTTTCCGTGGAATTCAATTATTAAAAATAGAATTTGCAAAACTTTTTTCTAAAAAAATCAATTATTTATCATTTTTTTATGAAATTCTTTGCAATAATTCAATTATTTTTGTAATTCCTCGCAAAATGTAATTATTCTTAAAAAAAATTATTAAAATTTGTCAAAAGAATTAAATTATTTTTAAAAATTTTAATAAAATTCGTCGTAAAAATTCTATTATTTTCATAACTAATAAAACTCATCGCAGAATTTCAATTATTTTTAATGCTAAAAAAAATTGAATTTTGGAAAAGTTTCAAATGATTGCAGAAAATCAATTATTTTAAAAAGTTATGAAAATTCATCGCAGAAATTTAATTGTTTCAGAATTTTCCAAAATTTTCGAAAAATTCCAAAGGAATTCAATTATTTACAAAATTTTTAATAAATATTTTCGAAATAATTCAATTATTTTCATAAATAATAAAATTTTCACATGAATTCAATTATTTAAAAATTTAAAATACAAAAGGTCAGAAAATTTAAAAACAAACATTAATGATTTCAAAAGACTTTTTTAAAATTCGTCGCAAGAATTCAATTATCACAGAAATTTAATTATTTTTATAAACTTGAATAAAATTCGTTGCAATAATTTAATTATTTTCAAAAGTAATAAAATTCTTCGCAGAAATTCAATTATGTTAAATAATTTTTATTAAACATTTTTTTGAGTATCTAATAATTTTTAGATTGAATCAAAATATTCTTTACGATCAAAGAAAAAGTTAAGATTTTGTCTGGAAATCAGGGAAAGGCAGAGAAAAACAAAATTAAATTTTTGTGTCAACACTGTTTTTTAAAAATATTTGTTAGCCCTAATAACTTGGTATTTTTTTTCCAGTACCTCTATCTACTCTTCAGCGATGACTCATTAATAAGCCTGGACGATTGGGTTTTCAACTCTGAAGCTCACATTCTTCCCATCAGAGGAAATCCTTATTATCGTTCACATTCATCTTTATAAACAACAAAAAAATAGACCCATCTCGATAGCAACAATTACAAGTTTGATTAAAAGAAAAAAAAATCTCCAGACATAATCTGCGATTATTCATAATTCCTGAAGAAAAAAAAATGTGGAATTTGAAAGAAAAAAACACTCAGTTATCTCAAATTAGATAAATGAGTCTTCAATACTGGAGTTTATTAGTCAATGAAGAGAAAAAAAAACCGACCTAATAGACAAACAATGCCAGATGTACTAATTATTCTGGCAGAATAACCAATAAACTACTTACTAAAAAGTAGAGAAAAAAAATAATAAAAAGGTCGATATTTAAGTCTGCATTGTAAATAGCGAGAAAGAGAAAAAAAAAAGTTGCAACTGTGTGTGAGTGTTTTATTGTCACTCTTTTTCTATTACCAATGATGAAATTATTTGTAAAAAAAAAGAAAAATTCTTTTCAGGTGTGTTCTTAAGTGTGTTTGTGTTTGTCTTTTTTTTTACCTTAAGAAAAATATCGATATTTTTTTCGATCTAAAAATTGACATTATTTACTGCATTTATTTTTACGCAAAAAAAAAAGCGTAAGAATATTTTAATAGAAAACAAATGAAATGTTTTTTAATTAAAAATTTTTTATTATAAAAAAATATTTAATAGTAGAATAATTTGAATTTCTTACTTTTATCCGTTTGCCGCATTTTAATTTAGAAGAATTTTGCATTTGCAATGAAGCAAATGTTTCGAATCATTGAAATAATTTGTTTGTCTGTCTTCCAACCAAAAAAAAAAAAAAATGAAAGTATATGATTTACGCTACGAAGGACTGCCTTGAAACTAATAATGTTTTAGACAATGTCAAAAAAATTGTTCGTTTCTCTAAAAAAGTAGTTTTTTTTTAGTTTTTTTCTTTTTTTAACTGTTTAGAGTGGAAAATGTAAAAATGCGAGTTTTTTCTTGTATAACGAAAGAGTGAGTGTTTGTTTTTTTTATGTAATAATGTAGCACACGTAAATAATCAGTGAAGTATGTCATGCAAATAGAGTTGTATATAAAAAAAAATTTAAAGAAAGTCATATTCTATATATGAGATTTAGCGAAAAATGTACACGATAAGCCTTGACTATATTTCAGGCGATAAAATCCATGAGAAATGCGTCAAGTTGAAATGACATTAATATCAAATTTCTTCACTATTACATAAAATTTCAATTTTGTTGCTTTTTTTCGATTGTACAGTTTACATTTTGAAATGTAAAAATTTGTAATTTTACACTAAAAAAAATTTTCCATCAGGGAAGATCTTTTATTTATTTAGTTACATTTTTTGTTTGTTTTGTACAATTTATTTTAGTTTCCATTTAACGCATTTCTTTATTAGTGATTGAAAGGTTTTTAAAGACTGGGAGATGAGAGAAAAGAGATATAATTAAAGTGCACATAGTTTGTTTATTTTATAAACGCGTGTACTGTTAGAAAAATAAACAGTTATCGCAAAAACTTTGATAACAATCTGTAACGGAAAAAGCAAATTAACAGCGACTTAGGGCCTGTGAATTACTTAATATATAAATAATTTGTTATTAGTTACAGTGGATGAAGGAGAATATTCACGAAAATATTTTTTTTTGTTATTAATTCTCGTTAGAAAAAATTTACTTTTTCACCAAGGGAACTGTATCAATTTTGCAATAGTTTTAGCAAAAAAATTGTCAAATTAACAAAACAAAATATTTCGCAAACAAAAAATTGGTTTTTACACAATTTTTCAGATATTGAGATTCTTGTAATTTTTTTTATTCAAATTTTATCTAAAAAACCAAGTTAAATCTTTTTCTCAACAATTTAAAAATTTTATTTTAAATCTGCTTTCTTCTGAATGAAGAAACAATTTTAAATCAATGATTGGAAAATAACACCACAAATTGAATTTAATTATTCAATTTAAATCATTTTTTTGTTTCGAAAAAATAAATTTCTGTTAAATAATTAAAGGAATTGTATTTGCAATCTTTTTTGAATAAAAGTAAAAAAAAAAACCTGAGTGTTTATAGTAAAAAGAACTCAAGAATTTTAATTAAATGACGCATCACCTTCGAGCATAAAGTAAATTTAAGATTTTTTAATCATAACCAGAGAGTAAAATCCGAGTAAATTAAATAAAAAATTTTGTAAAACAATCTGTTAAATAAATATTACAATAAAGTAAAATTTAGTCTATGCGATAAACGACGACGACGAAAAATTGTAAACTTTGATCGTGAAAGAGACGAGGATTATATTCTAATTTTTAGACAACTTATACATACTCCTGTGAATAGATATTTAATAATTTATTGTTAATTAAAGTATTTTATTTTCCACGATTAATGTAAAACGGAATTATGGGTAACATTTAACCGTAAATTGGGAAATTACACGTATTTCTGTTTCAAAAAAAGAAAACTGGAAGAAACATGGATTTTTCGATTGGAAAAAAAAGAATTCGAAAGCGATGTTTATTCTTGTTTTCTAAAAATTTTTTTAGAAGAGATGAAAAATTTGAATTTATTACGGATTTAAATTGTGAGGAAAATTTTTGATTTTTCTAATTAATACCATAATGACTCGTGCGACGAACTATTTCACTTGTAAATATGAATATATGCCGTAGCAATAATTGGGTTACTTTTAATATTATGTGATTATTACACTGTCATGAGTGAATTAAATAAATATTGATAATATATTACTTTTAGTGCTTTTCATCCAACCTTGATATTCAGAATATTTTTCTGCCTTTCTGGTTTTTTTTTCTATTCATGATTTTTTATAATTCTTTTTTAATCTTTTCTACTTCAAGTATTTTTCGAATTTCAGGGAATGAAAATAAATCATTTTTTTTTGTAGGGAATGAAAAGGAAAAAAAATATTTTCCGAATTGTAGGTAATGAAAAGAAAAAAAATTTTTTTTTTCCGAATTGTAGGGAATGAAAAGAAAATGTATGCAATTGCTTTTTTTTCTGATTCGAAATATTTTTCTCGAGTGAAAAATATTTATGCGGTTAGTGGACGTGTAAAAATATCATTGTGCATTTAACTGTATAAAATAGAAGGGGAAGAATATTCTTGAGGTGGAGGAAGCCGAAGAAGAGCAAAGAGTTTTGAAGATATGAGACACGTGGGACACATGGAATGAAGAGGGACGCCTGATTTGTGACTGTGGTGAACGCAGAAAGTTGTGAATGTCTACTTTAACGAGTGTCAGACACTAAGCCATAGACCAGATATGTCCGATCTCGCGAAGCACTCGTAACGCGCTCTTCTTTCCCTCGCGAATACCTTTCCTCAAGTGATAATTGAAAAAAATTGTTTAATCCTCAAATTAAATTGTTTCCCCCCTTTTATTATCATTTTTACTAATTATTTTTAAAAAATCTATTTTTTATCGAAAAAATGTAATTAAAATCAAAATGTGAAAAGAAATGGAAAAATAAATGAGAAATTAAAATACAAGTAAGGAAAATTAAAATACTTCCTCGATGGGAAAGTAAATTAAAAGTAAATTAAAAAAAAAAATTAAAATTAAAAAATGATTCTTTACACAAATAAAATTTAATTTAATTTTGAATAAGGAATTAAAAGGAACAATATTTCAAAAATATTTACAAAATACAAAATTTACTTTTACATGTAATTTGAAATTAAATTCTTAATAAAAAGTGTTGAAATAATAAAACAATAATTTTAGAAGAGATTTAAATATTAGTTGAATAATTTAATTGTTGAAATTAAATTCTTAATAAAAAGTGTTGAAATAATAAAACAATAATTTTAGAAGAGCTTTGAATATTAGTTGAATAATTTAAATTTAAATTAGTTCTTATTTAATGTCATAGTTTCAACTAAAATTAATTTCTGTCTCTCCAGAATTTTTTCCATAAACTCATCTGGTGGAAATTAAAAATTTTCAATATAAAATAAAAATTAGTACCTAAATTAAAAAGTAAATTAAAATTACAAGTAGGTAAATGGATTATGAAAGGCATTTTTGATTACTCCTGATATTTAAATAAACTTTTCCGGAAATTATCCTCGCGATTTTTTGGCAGAATATTGTGCATAGTATATAGTGAAAATGGAAATCTAAAAATATAAGGGTGATTCGTGTCGGGAAAGTGATTTTCAGAAGTGGTATAATCCCTTCCATGGTTTAGTGAAGTGACACTCTCGCGAACTGACCTTTGGAAGCCAACACTTTGTGGCCTTCCTGTTATGCTATTTCCTGTAACAAAACACGAAAACCAAGGACAGTCGAAAATGAAGAGAACTGCAATTAAATTAATTATAGTAGCAGTTTGTCTAATTGGTGAGTGAAAAATAAAATTGACAAAAAAAAAAGAATAATTTTAAATAAGGTTCTGTATTTTTAAAAAATTTAATATATTTAATCAGGTTCTAAAATAAAAAATAAATTTACAAAAAACGGTTCGAACTTTAAGGAATTAGGAAACAAATTCTTGTTCAAAAACCAGATGAATAATGGTTATTAACTTGTTAAGTTCAATGTCACATCCTTCGCTCTACTGTCATGGGCAAATCTCCCCTTTTTATTATTTTCATTGTATTCATAAAACGACGCGACATCAATATTTTTATATACTAATTTAACGAACCATGGGCAAAGGAAAAAATAGTTTAAACTTTAAACTCTCAAAATTTTTATATTTTGACTATGGTCATAAAAAAAAATATTTAAAAAAATATTTACATACAAAAATATTAATTATTATTATTATATATAAAAATATTTATATACAAAAATATTTTAAACCCATAAAATTTCTATCATATGGTTTTCTGGATAAATGTTGAAATAAATAAATATTTCTAGATTTTTGCCATAGTTCAAAATTTATCATTTCTACATTGTATAAATAAGGTCTACAATATTTATTATTCCACATTGTCCATTCTTTTTGTATACAATAAGAAACATTATTCCTAGTCGAAAATTTGAAAAAACTATAATTAAGATAATTTATTTCGATAATTATTCTCTTTATATTATGAAAGATTTTAATTTCAAATTGTATACGTGCATTCTTCTTCAATTTTAGAATCATTTTTTTTATTAGCCATGCTCTAGAATGTTTTCAAAATCTGAATTACCACATACCTTCATCAAAAGCTGTCAAAAGTATCTAATTACCGTCTTAAAAATGTTAATCACGAGAATTCTCTTTTACATACAATTTTTTAAAAGTTAATTTTTTTTTTTGAAAAATGGTAACATTTTCTATATGTTAATTATTCTTTTCATTTTTTTTTGTAAGTTTTTAATTGTTTTTTTTATATTAAATGGCTTTATAACAAGGAAAACTTTCGTTTGTTAGCTATATTGATGAGGGTTTAACAACATTTGATTGAGAGGAAGGAAGTTGTGTGTTGAAATCAGAGTTTATTTACACATCGTTTTAACTGTTCACTCAAACTTAAATGTGAATCGGTTTTTTTTTATTTTTCCTTTCTAAACAAAATAAATGTTCTAATGGATTTCTATTTTTTTTAATATTATTTTTTATATTTCTAATTTTTGACTAATTAATAATATAGTAAACGTAAACCATGAATTGATAAATCTATGCTTATTTATAGAAATTAGAATAATATTAATATAGGATATAGGTAAAAAAATTTAACTATACTAATTTATTAAATTTTACTGTACCCATTAGTATTAATTTAAAAAATTTACAGGCTTTGCACTCAATAATTTGTTTTAAAAAAGTAGCAAAACGTAGCATTAAGACTGAAAAAAGTATCAAAAAGTAGCATTAAGAATGAAAAAAGTAGTCAAAATGTAGCTACTATCGAAAAATTAAATTTCGCTACTAAAAAAGTTATTTTAGACGATTCACAAAATTCATAAAAATTTCATTCTGTATTTCTCTGACATTTTCCTGATTACCATCAAAAATGTTTTTTTTCCTGGTAATAACTTCAATTCTAAATTTTTCTAAACTTCACTTATATTCCAAACTTTTGATTAGAAATTTTAGAAATTTTAGCATTCTTCAAAAATTCGATTATATTTCAAAATAATTTTTAAAAGTAAGAAAATTTATTTTTTTAAAACATAAAATTTATTTCAGTTAAATTTGACAAATGTTCAATTCATTAATGTAAAACCTTTTTTAAATTTATAGAAATTTCTATAAAAATTCATATTATAATGCATTTAATATTCAATTATTATATTCTAAAATTTTAACTGTAATTTAATTTTAAATCAATTCTTATTCAAAAATTCTACAATAAGAATGCAATTGTTTAAATACAAAAATCAATAATTGATAGAATAACCAATTGTTTCTTAAAATTGAAAACTAGAAAAGAATTTAATCAAAATTTTTGAAAATAATTCATTTCATTCGAAGAATATTCATAAAAGTTTAGAAAATAATTACATTTTTCGAGGAATCTATTTTAAATTGTATTCAAAATAATTTAAATTCTGTAAAGAATTTTATTTTTCTTTTAAATAATTGAATTTCTGCAATGAATTTTATTATTCATGAAAATAATTGAATTTTTGTAACGAATTTTATTAAATGTTTTTAAATAATTGAATTCCTTTTTTCATTTTATAAAAATTTAATAGAGAATAATTCAAATATTTCGAATAATTAATTAAAATTGAAATAATTCAATTTTTTCGATGAATTTCACTATTTATGAAAATAATAATTTAACTTTTATAAACAAATTTTGTAACAATTTTAGAATATAATTAATATTTTACAAAGAATTTTATTAAAATATTTAAATAATTGATTTCATTCGAAAAAATGTCTTGAAAATTTTATTTCACACGATTGAATTACTTTGAAGAAGTTATTATATTCATAATATTAATTGAATTTTCACTTTGAATTTTATTAAATTTTTTAAAATTAGTATAAAGTAGGTTAAAAAATTTTGTGGAAATTTTCAAAAATAATTTAATTCCTATAAACAAATTTTTAGAAAATAATAAATTTCTTTTTAAAGAATATTTAAATAATTGATTTCTTTGAAAAAAAAATCCTTTGCTTTATTTCACATAATATTGAATTACTGTGAAAAATTTATTATTCGTATTATTTGAATTTTTGCTTTGGATTTTATTAATTTTTTTTTATAAATAATTGAATTCTTTTGAGAAATTTTATTAAAATAGGGTAAGTGCGGGTATAGTCGGACAGTACTAGTAGTCGGACACTTCCGTGTTTTTTGGCAAATAAATAATAATGCATTGTGATAATTACTTTAAAAAGTATACTAGACGAATGTGTGAAGTTTATATTTTATTAAAATAGTGTTATTTTCAAAAATAATTAAACAAGAAATATTTTATTTAATGTTTTAAAAATCATGGTGTCCGACTATAGATACAACCATTTTCGAGTAGCGCGATGAGTGGCACAAAGTTTTGTTGATAATTAATCATAAATATTAAATCTTATAGGGTTTAAATATTATATTAATAACTTCTAATATGCTTTAATTCCATTTTCCAGCCGATAGCAATTAAAAAATTATCTTTTTCACTTTATAAATTCAAAATATCTGACAGATGTCCGACTATAGAAACAAGGGGAAAAAGTGTCCGACTACTAAAGCATTCGTAATTTTTTATTAAAATGTTTATATTTTATTAAATACTCAACTATTTGTAACAAATTTATATGATTTTTAATCCTGAAGAACTCCTTTAATTAATAATGTGCTTATAAACACAGTAGATATTTGCTATTTCAAGAAAAAAAGCATAATTTAAGATTGTATCCTTAAGTGTCCGACTACTAGTGCATTTACCCTATATAAATTTGTATATCAAAATAAATAAAATAATGGATATTGAAAATATTTGAATTTCATTATTTGTGAAAATGACTGAATTCTCGCAAAAGATTTTCGAAAATGTTTTGAAATAATTGAATTGTGTCAAAGAATTTTATAAAAAAATTTCTAATTGTTTCTAAGAAGAATTTTATTAAAATTTTCAAGAATTATTTCTTTATTTCAACTATTAGCGAATTTAAACTTGTAAAAATTGTCAAAAATAGGAAAAAGTGCTTTTAGTGTCACAAATTTAAAAAAAAAGTGTCCATATAGTAGCTAATAAAAAAAGTAGTAATTAGTAGGTTTTAGCAGATCAGTGGGAAGCCCAAATTTAGTAAAATTTAATTTATCCTTAATTGTTACCATATAAATGAAATTTATTAAATTTTTTGCATTTTTATTTTGACTTTGCTATATGGTCTAAAAGTACAAGTCGCAGAGAGAAGTGTCAGGAAATATCTTGTTTGACGGTATCTTGATGTTCTACATACAATTACGCGGATTCTAAATTTACCCTGCAACCTTCGAAAGAACGCGTTATACTTTCTCCGAAAAATCCTTTTTTTTTATTGAAATATTTATTGTAAACAGTTTCACGCGGTAAACAGAATTTAACTTACAAGAGAGTTTTTAATACATAAACTTTTCAATTTTTCGTTTTATTAGCTAAAGATTGAATTTTTATTTATTACTATGATTGTACATTATATTTTTGCCTTATCTTAAAACTAAGAATAGAAATCTATTCTAAAATCGCAATAGAAAAAGAAATGGTAAAAAATTTTGTGAATTTTTTAAAAAGTCTATTCTTAGATATATTTTCTAGTGTCCACTTGTTTATTTAAATCTTCTCAAGTTCCAAGAAAATACTGGTCACGATGCTTCAGATTTGTCTCACATGTCTACTATATAGAAATCGAGTGAATCAAAATTTATTTTCAGTCTTCAATTTAGTATTTAGTATTTAGTGATTCCACTAATTTTGCATAGTAATTTAGTTCTCAAAAAATATTTAATATAATTCAATAAATAATTTAAATAACGAAAATTTTTATTAGAAATTTTTATTAAGACTGATTGTAAATCAGTCTTAAAATGTTAATTTTTATATTGAAAGCCATTTGTCTATATTAAAGCAATTTTATTCTATTTTATAAATTCCTATTATCAATCAGATGTTTTAAAATTCGTTTTTGTCCCTTGATTTTTATATACTAGGTAAACATTTTTCTTTTTGAGAATAATTTTAGGATTTACTTTTTTCTTTATATTATTCTATTTCTCGAATATGTAAATAGTGAAAGAATTTCACAATTAAGAATCATTTATCTTTTTGAAAAAAAACTGGTTTGCCTGCTTGGGATTTTAATTCGGATGGAATTAATTACATATTAGAAACTAGAATTTTTATTCAAATTATATCCTCTATAGTAGAAAACGAGTTAATGAATTGTCTTGTCATTTAAATAAGTTGGTTCACTT